AGTTGAGAATGATCTGGTCGTTCACGCCGTACTCGTTGATGTAGCGCTTCGCAAAGGGCTCGAAATGGTTGCCCCGCAGCCACGACAGATCCATCACCAACACGCCCGCATTGAACGATCGGGAAGCCGTGTAGTTGAGCGCTGGGAAGCTGCCCGTGTCGTTCAGCCAGTCGTTGATGACCTTGGGCGTCTTGGAGCTCCGCGCCCATATGCCGCAGTGCTGCTGCGGCGGGAGGTCCCACAGCGGCCGCAGCCGGCCGTCCACAATGACGTCCAGGTCGAGGAAGATCAGCCGGTCCTGGAAGGGCAGCATGGTGGGGGTGAACAGCCGCCACATGGTGGCCTGCGATTTGCTCAGATGGGGCATGTCGTGCGGCTGCTTGTAAGAGTCAAAGTGGGCGAAGTGATCAGGCACACGGACCCACTCGAGGACCATGTGCCTCCTACCATTGGCCTCAAAGCGGTCGATCAGCGCGTTGACCATCCCCCTCTTTGCCGAGTCGACATCGCGGTGGAGAACGTGCACGGCCGCAAAGTCGTCGGCGTTGCTCTTGTGGATGGAGTTGAGGACAGTCGGCAGCTGCTCGATGCCGTCCCCGTCCACCGCCATGCAGATGTGCAAAGGATGCCACTCGCGGAACTTAGCGTCGGCCTTCCTCTTCTCCACAGCTGCCGCCGTCCTCTTGGCCTTCGCCTCCTCTTCCCGCCGTATGTGGCTCTCCGCCGTCTCGCGCAGACTCTCTCCATCTCCTTGGGGCCCGGCTGGCGACTGGCGTGAAGGCCGGGGCCTCTTGGGGGTGGGCTTGCCTTTGCCGGGCACGGTCATCCTTTTGGTCGTCATCTGGTTGCCCGTCTTGACAATGAAGTCTGAGGGCGACGAGTTGCGGCCGCCCTTGGGAGACTTCTCGTCCTGCTGGTACCGGTTCAGCAGGACGAGGGCGCTTTGGAGGGCGCTGTCCGTGCTGTTGGCGACCAGGACGTCTCGGAGGCCGGCCGTCCACGTCTCGCGGTAGTGCCTTATCTTGCTGCACGGAAGAACGAACAAACGAACAAACAGAAGGAGTGGGCTCATCAGATGAGCATGCTGGGGGTCGTTTGATGTGTACGCACCCGTAGTTGTTGTCGAGGACGACGTGTGGTGTGTCGAGCATGGTCGAGAGAATGTGACCGTGAAGCCGCTCCGTCACCACAATCTGATGCACACACACACACGCGTCACACACCATCACACACCACATGCGCATTTACAGCCAGCCGGCCATCCCCATTCCTCCCTCCCGCACCTTGGCTCTGGCAAGGAACGAGAAGGCCCTGTCGACCCTCATGTGTGAGAACTTGTCCATGAAAAAGTTGAGCTGGAATTTCTGCCAGCTGACGGTGTTTGCCTTGGACAGCTTCTTGTAGTTGAGCCAGTCCTCCGACACCATCACCACACCCTCGGGCGCCTTGGGGATGGCGATGTCGGTCCGCTCGGGGTCCCCCCGGTGCACCCACAAGATGTCAATGTCCTTCGGCCACCCCGGCCTCTTTGAGCCGATCATGAAAGCTGAGTCGGGGCACAGGATCGCCTTCTTGAATTGGAAGCCGTTGTCGGGGTCGACAAGGAACTTGTACGAGGCGTGGTCGCGGACGAGGTAGGTGATCCTGCGGTGACGCATACGGCGGGCATGCGCCAATCGCTGACGCTGATCGATGGATCGACACACGACAGACAAAGACACAGACAGAGTCGAGTGTCTGTGTTCAGAGAGGAGGGGCGGGCTGGGGTGGGAGGTCGACTTACATCATCAGTGAATGCGATGCTCTGAGGGAAGACGACGATCTCGTAGTCCAGGAAACGGGCGACAACCCTCTCACGCAACTGATAGCAGCAGCACAGACAGACACACCAGGACGTCACATCACGCCTGGCGTGGCAGTGCGCGTGTCGCGTGTGTGTTGGGTGCGCTCGTGAGTGAGTGAGTGAGTGAGTGGGTGAGTGTGTGTACCTCTGGGTCCTGCCGCCAGATGTCGCCAAAGTTGCCTCCACCGTGGCAGAGGATGACCAGGTTCTTGGGAGCGCTGCGGACGGCGCTCTCCATCTGGTCCATGTCGCAGGGGCCCAGCCCGCCGGTGCTGCAGTGATAGACACTCGTTATGTTGAAGTGCTGGCCGATCCATCACACGCACACACACACACACACACACAGAAGGAGAGAGAGAGAGAGACGGAGCGAGATGGGTCAGAGGACAATGGGCGTGTGGTTTGTCGTTCGCTGGTGCCGACCTGGAGTATGAGGTACTCTCCGTAGTTGATAGCCGAGTCGCCTTTGTTCTCATGGTCAGCCAACCCAACTAAAGCAGCATAACCGTTCCTATACGGACCTAGCACCTGCACACAACACAAGACAAGACAGCACAGCGATCTCATCAGAAGGCCTGTAAGCCCTGCCTTTCGTCCCCTACCTGTTCATATATAGCGAGAATGGAGGCCTTCTGCCTCTCGACCAAGTCATCCATCTCAGTCGCTCCCAAGTTCCAGAGAGCAAACCGCCATGGCTTCTTCTCGTCGAATTCAGTCGGGAAAGTCGTCACGGGCGCCCCTTCAGCACCACTCACAGCGGCGGCAAATTCGGCCGGTGGCGGCTCCTCCACTGGCGGATAGCCCTTCCATGGAAACGCCCGCCTGGGTCCCCATGGGTTCCATCCCCATGTGCCGCCCCACTCCCCCTGGCCAAGCCTCGACCACCAGTCCGGCGCCTCCTCTGCCTCAGTGTCTTCGTCACAGGGGTCGCCACAAGAGCGGAAGGAGAGCAGCTGAGAGGTGAGAAAGAGGGAGATGACGGCGCATGAGGCGACGAGACCGCCCCACTTGAGCCATGCGATGGATGCGGGTCTGCGGCTGGGGGGGAGAGGGGAGTGGGTGGAGGGGCGGGAGGCCGACGACTTGGGCGAGGATGTGTGGGCCATGTGGTACACGGGGCTGCTCGTGTCGCTGCGATGCTCTTGCCCGCCCATCTGCAGACCCATCAGACGAACATAATGAGATGAGAAGAGAGCGGCGAATCAAGTGCATCAAGGAGGTATGTTCTCACCTTTGTGTGGTTGCTGAGCTGCAGATATGTGGCTGCAGCGGTGTCCTGGCCTTCCCCGTTTCCCCGCTGCTTCGGTCCCCTCCGCTGAGGCGCCGCTACTCAGCAACGGTACCAACAAACTCCGCGGCTGATGGGCTTCAGCTTTCTTGCCGTGCCTTCATCACCGTCTCATCGGGGGGGAAGAATTGGAGAGTCAGCAATCTGAGCTCGCAGGGTTTCCGAGGTCCAGGGTTTTTTAGACTGTCGAGAGTTGTGAAGACGCGCGGAATATATTGAGCCTTTTTTGTCGGTTTCTGTTTTCTCTTGCCAGTTTGCACCGCCTAGGCCCTCTCCTCTTTTCCAAGCGCGATGGGGGACCGTCTTCGACGAGACAACCAAGGAGAAGCAGGATCCCTCGACCTCATCCCATCGCCGACTGACACACCGCCCCCTTAGTGTGAGGAGGAATTTATCCTATAGCTGGGAGGGGCGATGGATAAGCGAGGAGGCGCTTCCTCGAGTTGTACGACGATCGAGCCGCCCGCATCACCACGGCGGCCAGGCTCGACAGCGGGTCGGAGGCATCGACTAGAGCATCTTGGAGTGCGAGACGATCCGCGGCTATCCGACAACATCGACATGCTGACGGACGCCATGCGCGAGATGGCCGCATCCATCGCCCATCGTTCTGCTGTCGAGGCAATGGAGGCAGCCACATCGAGCAACAAGTGGGGAGCTGGGCTGGCCGTCCTGGACGGCACGGGCGCAGGCATCACATGCGTCAGCATGCCATTCCTACGCGACATCGTCCTGCGTCATCCGTCCAAGCGCGCCGAGCTCATCGAGAGGTTCCAACCGCTTCGGCAGCTGATACGGCCGGAGGGACAGACCAACAAAGCGCTCGAGGTGGTCGGGTTGGTGTTTCTGGACGGACGTGTCTGTGGGCCGCAAGACGTCACGCTGGCCTTTCCGAGTCGTGCGAGACCTGCACCACCCGGTCATCTTCGGCATGGACCTGCTTGGGCACGCGAAGAAGTCGTCTATGGCTCGGCAACGCATCCAGAATACCGAGAATGTCTGCGGCCCCACGCACACACAGACGACATCGACGCGCTGCTGGACGACTACCCCACCACCTCGAGCGATCGACAGACGGATACCTTGACATTGGTGACTGCAGCCGACATCTGGCCCGACAGCATGGGCGACAGGGCGACTAGTGTGGTGGATGGCATGGCAGGCCTCTTCCGCGAGGCCTGCGAGGGCGGGGCGAAGGCGCCCCATGATGGAGTGAGGAGTTGTGATGGTGTAGATGATGAGTCGGGCGGGCAGAGGAGCATCCCTTCCGCCCGGCCGACAGGCGTGCCGCCCCTGCGGATCGACCCACCACCCCACGCACACATGGCGACAGGGGAGACACCTCAGCCGGCACCATGGGATGGAGCCACACTCGACAGCTACCCGGTGCGCTTCAAGGAGGCCCTAGTGGTGGACGGGCCAGGGTGGCTGGACATCCCCTTCTCTCTCACCAAGCCGACCAAGGGGAAGGGCGGCCGGCAGGCAGAGTGCCTCCGTCCAGGGACGCTTGGCTACTTTTATCCTGACGAGATGCGTCGGCACCCACTCTTCCTGCTGCCCAAGGCAGGGATCGCCCGCGTCCAAGCAGACGGCACGGTCGCCCTGCGTGTCCTCACGGAGAGACGACCCGCTTCCCAAAGGGCATGCGAGTGGGTACCTTCCGCCCGTGCACGGCTGAGGAGATCGAGCACGTCAATGCGCAGCACTTCGCGGCCATCGAACAAGCGCACGGCCCCATGACGTCGGCCTATGAGATGGCTTGCCAGTGTATAGAGTGGGACGATGTCATGTTTGGCTACGAGCCGCTCACTGAGGAGGTGAGCGACGGCACACGCATTGAATGGCAGCACACCTCTCAATCTCGGCGTGCGGTGTTCTGTCTGTCTGTCCATCAGGAGGTAGCGAACTGGCTGACACCCTAGGAGAAGGCCAGGATGTGGGCAGAGGTAACAAAATGATGGACCAAACAGCGGTCGAGGACAGGAAGGTCATTCCCTTTGTCTGTTCCCGTGTGCTTGCTTGTGCAGTCGGAGAAGATGGCGGCAGGTGCCGCCAGAGCCAGAGCCACCAGGGACGCGGAGCTGGCTCGTCTGATGCGGAAGTGGGCGAGGGAGGGCACGCTGAAGCAGAAGCCCACCACCACCAAACCCGCCGCCAAGCCCCCCACCACCAAGCCCGCTAAGGCCGCCAAGCCCGCTAAGCCCACCACTACCAAGCCCACCAGGCCCGCCATGGCCGCCAAGCCCACCAAACCCGCCAAGCCGCTCCGAGTGGCGACCTGCCTGGGGCTCGCCACCAGCAGCAGAGGGCAGAGGCCTTGGCCAGGCTGGAGGAGCTAACGAAGCAGAGGGAGGAGGCGGCCCTGCGCCGCTTCCGTTTTTGATGCAACAGTGAGAGCAGAGCGGGCCTGGTGGGGGTGTCGTGCGCGTGTCTGACCGCGACCGACACCATCCCAGCCCGCCAATCCCCCCCTCATCCAGCAGCTCATCCAGCAGCTCGTCAGGCTAGAGGACAAGCTCGACAAGATGCTGGCGGCTGGGATCATCGAGCACTCAGATGCCACCAAACTGGAAGACAAGAAGCAAACCGGGGTACGATGCATATGTTGTCCACGACACGGGTAGGGTGTCAGTGATGTGATCGATCAGGACGCCGCCGCGTGGAGTGTCTCTGTAGGTGTGATTCAGGACTGCAAGACTCACCTCACGGCAGCAGAGATCGCTGCGTACATTTTATATCGAGACAGGTCCTTTGTTCCCCTTCTGGATGTTTCCCTTAAGCAGCCAGAGCACGCGATCGATCGGTTGTGTTTTCTATGCAACGACATGCATATGGACCCAGTTAGTTGATGGATGCGCGCCCGCCCGGGCACACATGTGTGGTCTTGCCAGAGACATTAGTTCGAATCATTCTCACACCTCAAGAACATTGATGAAGGACTACGTGTAGCGAGTACACCAATTGAGCAACCGACCCATCCATCCATCCATCCATCCGACCATCCATTAGCTTTGACAGGTCCACCGATGCAAATGAGAGCGAAGGATTGATGTCTTAAGCAGAGGCCTCTGCAGGCTGCAGTCAGGCAGGCGCTTGTGCATGCTCCTCTCCATGCTGTTCGGCAGTCGTAGCGCTGCAGAAGACCACAAAACCGGCACTCTTTTCCGCTGGATGGCGCTGTCTCGATGGGCTTGAGGCGATGGGGTGGGAGCGGACAGCACCAGAGGCGACGTCAGTTGCTCATCATGTGGATGCGGTGTCTCTTCTGCCGCATCGCAGCTCTCTCCAATGCCCTCTTCTGTTGCTGATGGCTGATGGCGATGTGTGGCGCGTCGTTGTCTGTGCGAGGGAGAACTTTGGGGTCTTTGCTTGGTCGTCGTTTTGCTGCCCACAGTCTTGTCAGGGGCAGGGGTGCCGCCACGAGGATATGCAGAGGGCGCTGGCGTGACCACGGCTGCGGTTTGTGGTGGATGGCTGGACGGCGAGACACGACCCTGCACAGACGGCACAGAGACTTCACGCGACATGATGTGGAGTGATGCATCACTTGCGCGCATTGCTTGCCTGCTGTGTGAGGACGGAGGACGATATCGATGTGATTGCATATGGAGACGCACGAACATTGGACCTGGATGCTGGGCGTGTCTTGACATGCGATGCTCGCGATGATAAGGTCGTCCGCGAGGGAGGGAGAGTCGGTCTCTGCCAGCTGTCCCCCACATGGTCGTCCAGGCAGTGCACGATCTTTGCGGCATCTTGGCTCTTCTCAATGGGCGACACAGATGCCGTCACGAGTGTGTATTGGGGAGCACTGCACGTCGGCCGCTCCTGCAGCACTGGAACCGACGGCCTCGATAGCCGTAGCTTGGACGACAAGATTGATGGACGGGGGGACGCCTGCGTGCGGGGTGATGCAGCAGGGACAGCTGGGCGTTTTGGCGAGGATTTCGATGGGGCAGGAGTCGGCTTGCTCCGAGATACGGCTGGCTTGGGCTTATCCTCAAGCCGCTCTGTCCGGTGCTTACGCCGCTCTGCTGCCGGCTGAGGGTTCCGTCTCCTCTCGCGGAGCAGAGCAGCCTTCAGGAATGCTCTCTTGAAAACGCAGGAAGTCAGACGCATTGAGAAGTGCAAGAGACAGGACTCGTTGCTGAAGGCTAACCTGTCGTGCGAGGGCATGCGTGAGCATCTCCACCAGGGCGTGCTCCGATCCGAATAGAGCATTGCCCAGCTCAAGACCCTCCCCCAGAACAGCAACGCTCGCCTCAAGACGCTCCATTCCCTCGTGGACACTCTCCAGACGATCAAGGGCCGAATGGGGAGGGGTGTAGTAGGGACTGGTGGGAGACTGGGATGCTGATGATTCGGGGTCGGAATTGCGAAGGGGAGTCACTGCCAGCTGGGATAGTACAGCGCCGCAGTTGTAGAAACATACCTAACACACGAAGAAAGAATGGGCAGTCGACTACCGTCGGGAGAAATGCGCTAGAGGGTGTCTCACCAGCAGAAGCTCCCGCAAGACGTCATCGAGTGTGCCATTTCGTCCCTCTGCCGGCCTTTTGTTGCTTGGAGCATCATTTTGCAGCGCCGCCCGGCTGAATAAAAGCCTTGCAGCTCGCACCAAGAACCCCACAAGGGACGCGCCGTCATCCTCGGAGTTGTGCAATGCTGTCCTTGCCCTGCTCGGCCCGATGTTCCTACCGCTATCTGGCGGGACCAGAGGTAGCTCAGGCGTGTCACATTGCAGCGGTAGGGCTTGTCTGGAGACACTAGCTGGAATCACGCCACTGAGAGAGACAACAAGAGAACGTGACAAGCACTTGTTGACTTTATGCCCTCATGGCTATTTTGTCACCAGTTCTTCAGCGAGTTGAGGGCCCCCTGCAGCGAATTGAGTGTTGTGACGGCTTCTTCAGCCGTCATCCTACAACGAATGACATCAAATAAGGTTAGATACAGATGAAGTGATCGCGAACTCACACACAGGTACCTTTTTGGGCACTGGCTACTCAGCGTGGCCAGGTTGAGCAATATGACAGCAAGGGTGCCATCCTTGGGCTGTGTCGCTGGCCCTGTGGGCCAAGGCGCCGAATGCTCCTCTGCCGTCCTCGCTGCATGCTCGAAGTGCTCCTTGGCACGTGCTGCCTCCTTCTGATTGACAACGCAAGGGCATATTTTGCTGGCAGCCACCCTATGTGAAGAGCTGTTTCTTACCTTCAGGTGATGAAGAAAGCCCGAAGCAGCTGCGAGCATGACTCTGAGGTCGATAGTGCGCCACGTCGTATCTTCAACGTCCACACGGCCGCTTCGATGGCTTGCTCCGTCTTGTGTGTCAGAGCTGAGCACAGTTACAACGCACACACGCAAAATGCATGCCGTGTTGATCGATGAGACATCTGTCGTCGGGTTTCGTGCGCTGGCCCCACTTCTTGTCCGTCGACGTCATGTCTGGGGTTGGCGCGTTGCCCTCAAGAAAACCACAGCACCGTGACACGGTCTTTACAATCTCATCACAGACCTCGGAGGCACTCATTGGTAATGCTTCGCCCTCGCTCCCGTCGGCGTTGCTCGACCACCCTTTGTGTGTCTGGTCTGCCGAGTCGCCGCTCGATTTGGGCTTGTGTGGCACTGCAGCCCCTGTGTCTCTCGTCTGGGGGAACTCCACCAGCTTGAGTATGACTGTCGCAAGTGCCAAACCCAGGATCTGACCGCATCAGAGAGCCGGTGACCTGGCGTCCATAATTGAGGTACGCAGCCGTGCATACATACCTTTTGCAGCATGGGCACGTCAGCATCGTCTGGAACAAGACCCATTGCGTGCTGCAAGAAGCAGGCATAACACGACCGAGACAATGCGGAACAGATGGACACCATGTTTCTACCTCTTCAGTGAGCCATATCATCAGCTGTGACAGGACCAGAAGGACGGAGTCCGCGCCGCTCGCCTGAAATGCTCTGCAAGACACGACAGCAAGGCGGGTCCAAAAATGGCTGAGCCATCCTCCTGCGTTCTTACGACATGGCCATGTGGTGCAGGGCCCTAAATCGGAGGCCGCTTTCCACGATCGCCATCTCCCCGGTGCAAGACACTTCGAAAGCCTCCGTCTTGGTATATGCGGCGTCCAGTTCAGGGTTCAGAAGCGCAGCGAAGAGGGATGATACAGCCAGGAGAGCCTCAGGACCAACCCTGAAGACAATCAGTCGGACACACAATGGGCATCACCAGGTGATGTCCTGTGAATGCGTACCAGAGACTCGACCTGAGACAAGCGGATCCCCCCACATGCCCTTTCATTGATGGACTTCTCTTGCTGCCCTGTCGCATGGCCGTACGACGCTCTTTCTCAAGATGGTTTTTGATAGGGTTTCTCTCGTGTTTCGAGCTCGCTACTGGGCCCCTAACCTGCATGACTTCCCCCCAGTCTCAGAACGACATGTGCCCCTTCATTGTCTCCTTCTTTGTTCTGGGGTGCCTGACGTCATGCAGCGCCCTTGAGGTGAGCTCACGAGAAAATGATGATTGAGCTTCGTATCTTTCTTGGCATGGCATTGCAGAATTCGACCGAGGAAGAGCCGCCCGTTTCAAGTCTGTCGGCTTCTCTGACAGAGTTCTTAGTCGGCCAGGGCTTTGGCATTGTGACTGGAGACGCCTGCATCGGGATACTCAATGAGACAGCACAACACTACCACAGCGGAAGCGCCACAAGACTGCAGCCAGTGCTCTTGGATCTGCGGAAGGCGTGCATGTTCAACGAGTGCTCCTGCGGCGAAGAGGAGGCCGCCGCCCATGAGGTACATCCACGAGGAGACACATGGATATGTCCATGGGTACCAAAGTGTTGTCCTCGTCTTTCCAGGAAGGTTTTCTGCCTCGGAACACGAGTGCAAGAGCCGGTCAGGCAGCGGGGCTCGGCTGCTCTTCGCAAACGGGAAAGAACATTGATTGCGACGATTGGCGGGAGAAATATTACGGGTGTCTAAGGGAGGCCTCCTGTGAGGTGAGGGGTTGGCGCGGGAATCTGACTGACCCGTCCTCATGCAATGTTGAGTGCTCTGATAAGATGCATGACTGACTGGCTGGCTGGCTGAATGTCAATTGCTTAATGGGCCACACACAGGCTGCCATGCACCAAGTGCATTGAAAGCAAGTGCTTTGAGAGTCTTTGCTCATTCGCCGACATCATCCCCCGATCGATTGTCAAAAACAAAACTGTCAAACGAAAAAATGTGTTGAAGAGCATCCCTTTCCCAGTGCAGTGAGCAGATAGCTCATGGGGTATATTCACCGACCAAGTGCCGCATCCAGCTGTGTCTGCAGTTCTCCCCGAGCCAGTCCTTCATGCTGGGGAGTCCCGCCTCATACTTGGCAATGTCCTCCTCTTCCTCGTCATCGATACCCTGGGCCCTGTGTGTGAGAGGGGGGGACACCATCCATGCGTGTGTATGTGCGTGCGTGCGTGCGTGCGTGCGTGTGTGTGTGTGTTGACCGACCGGCAGCGAATGCGGATCCTTTCCACATCTGCGGTCCGGTCACGCAGCAGGGGCTCGTCCTGTCTGAGGCTCTCAATCAGCGCCACATCTTGGGGCAGCACGACCACCTTTGGCTTCATCGCTTCCCGGGCCAGACGTCTCGCATGCCACTCCTTCCATTTCTTCTCGCCCTGCCACAGAGGGGCAAGAGCGCCTCCATCCGGCTCAGGAAGGCCACCGAACATTGGCATCTCGACAATGTGAGGGCCGCTGCGGCGTTTGCGTGCGGGTGCGTCCCTCCGGACCGCTTTCTTGGGCGGCTGACGCACGGAAGATGGCGAGGGGCTGCGGTAGCGCTTGCTGACGTTGGCCCTGCGACCGCGGGTGATCATCTGGTGGGTCCTGTTGTTGGCATGACGGTGCGATGGTGCGTTTTGGAAGGGATCGGGCTCTTGCTCAGGGAACGGAGGCGACGACAACCGATGACGATACTTGTTTGCGACCGACGGCAGATCCAGAGGGGCATATACGCTGCACACACAGGCCAAGAAGGCACAGAGACGGCACTTCTCCCTGCCTCTTGGCCCTGCATTCATCAGTTCCCTACTTGACGTCTTCCATTGTTGGCTTGCTTTTGATGTGCTGCGCCTCAGGAGTTGGCACAAGGAGGGTGCCCTTCGTCCCTTTCCCTCTCTTGTGCACCTTCCGCAGCTCGGCAGCCAGCGATATCCTGGGAAGGAAATTCAGATGACCGTGTGAAAGGCTGCCTTTCCATCCCTAAGGCTTACTTTTCTTTGTTGTGCTGCTTGTTTTTGGTTTCGGGCTCGAGCGGCTTCCCCTTCTCTTCATAGTACGGAGGGAAATACGGCAGCGATCCAGAGCCATCAGACATGCGGTTGGTGCCCTCCTCTGTCGACCAGGTGCCCGCGCGATCGCTGTAGAGACACGTCACAACAACGTCACAAAGGTGGTGTCTCTTTGCTCTCATGTCGCATGTCTCCCCTTGTGTGTCCTCACAGAGAGATTGGGTTCATGGCGGCGGCGCAGCCTGCGCCTTTCTTCGTCTTGGGGCCATGGTATATGAAGCCCACTGGTGAGCTGCACACCCACAGACATACATACATTTAGGCATGAATGCCATGGTACATGGACGAAAGCTCTTCACGGCTCACTCGTCGACTGGTTTGCGAGATCTCTTGGGCGATCTCGTGTACTTCTTTCGACTATCAACCAACGCAAACCTGAATCGACAAAGAGATGGAGATATACTCATGAATGTCTCGGGGCTGTGTGCTCACAATGCCTTGTCTTCCGCCTCGTCTTTGTCAATGTCAATCGCCAAATTGTCCCCCTGACGCTCCCGCAACTCATAGGCCCGGCCACAGGCCGTCGCATACTTGCGTATCTTGGCCATCCGCATCACAAAGAGGCCATCCTCCTCCTTGTACGGCCCGACCTTCTTGGACACACGCTTGCGAGGCTCACGAATGGAGCCCGTGAGGTTTCTCTGCTTGGCCTTCTTCGCTGCACCTTCGCTGATGTCATTGCCCAGGAAGGACATCTCGAGGTCGATCACCTTGGCTCCGAGGCCGGCGGGTGTGACAGTGTTGTTCTCCGGTCGGGCCCCGGGAGGGCCGGGGGTTTTCTGGTTTGTGAGTTGTTTGGTCTCGTCGAGGTGGAGCATTTCATACTTGGGCGTGGCATTCGGATCTGAGGCATAGCCAGAGAGACACAGGCCGGCACATGACAGCTTTTTGCAAGGGGTCGCTCAGTGACTATACCATCAGAGGCGCTGCTGCTATAGCTGGGTGAATGTGATCCATTGGTGTCCAGGCCTACAAGAGACAGCGAGTACAGTGGCAAAGAGGCAGCGCCCGATCGGTCTTTCTGCTATGCATCTGTACCAATGACTGCAATCTTCGAGCGAGGGTCTTGAGTGAGGTCAGCCAGCATTCCGAGAGGCAACTGGTCCACATTCGTGACAACCACGTACCTGCAGGGGCGAGACACACATCGATGCGATGAGGGAGATCCCTTTCCCGTCTCCCTCTCTCCTTGCCCTCCCTGCACCTACCAGATGCCCTTTTTCTTTCTGAATTTCTCCAGAATGAGATGTAGCAACGCCCCCATGTGCAACTCTCCGCCGAGGGTAGCGTGATCAAACATAAACTGCACCTCATTCTTGATCCCCCCGCCGCCCTTACTGCGCCCCCACATGGCCTCGCAGATGTCCCGCAGCACATCGGCCGCATCACACACACCGTCGACGTGCAGCACGTTTGGCTGGAAGGGCTGGGTCGCTTTGTCGAACGTGGCGATGTGCTTGTTGATTGTCTTCTCGACGAGACGCTCCACTGCGGTGGCGTCTTGGGGTGTGGACCGGACCACAACAAGGTCGCCACACCCAAGACGGCAGCACCTGCGAAGCACACAAGCAGAAGCAGGCCTCATTTTTGGGGCGACTGAGAGAATGCACATGGCACGCAACCACAGGAAGAGACCGTCCACAGTGTCATGCATCGTGAAACGCGTGACCCCCATGAGACGATGGGCACCCCCGAAGCACAATAGAGCCGCTCAATGCGCATGAGGTTGCGGGAGTGTGCGTGAGGAAGAAGTGGTGCATTTCCCGTGGGGCCCACCGTGCGATGATGCCTTGAAGGTCTTCCATGACGCCTCTTTCACCAACGAATCGAAGAACGCTGTGGGAAGACAACTTCTCCACCCTTCGCACTTCTTAGCTCGCAGGGTTTCTCCCTGAAACCGCTGCCGCGACAGTGCTTTGGCTGTATGTCTGGAGAGGCTCTTTGCCAGGCAACGTCAGTGAATGTCCCAAATGCACTTCCATGCACACACTCAGAAAACACTCGTGGTGTGGCACAGCCTCTCAGATCCACCATGCACCCAGATCACCGTGCGCGATGCATCACATCGCCACCCCATTCAGTGCAGTGACCGCCCGCTCCCGCTCCCTCGTCAACCCTTCGCAATGCCTAGGTGTGTGCGTGCCTGCGTGTCTGCCTGCCTGCCTGCCTGCCTGTCCGTCTGTATGTGTCAGTCTCTGGGCAGACGAGGACATCTCTCCTCCATGATCTCGTAAAGCTTTCGGCCATTCATGATAACGGGGAAGCTGAGCACCGCACAGAGGGAAGAGGGAAGGGATGGTGAAGTGTGCTGTCGCGTGGCGCGCTGCGTTCATGGCCTCACTTACAAGTGTATCTGTCCTTCTGGTATGGTTTGGGTCTCCTTGAAGTAGACTAGGATGGGCAGCGATGGGCTCGGGTACATCTCCCAGTTGGTGAACGTGTCGTACTTCCACCGATTCGCGCCACCCACCGCAAAGTTGTCACCTGAATCAGCGAGCGTCTCGGCGTCGCCGTCCTTCTTCAAGATCTTCACCTGCACACATCACATCCCCAATCCACAAGGAGACCATCCGTCCGTGGGCATGACGACACTAATTGTGTGTCAGTCACCTCGAGTGAGTCGGCATCGAATTCGAACCGCACTCGTGTGGTCTGCAGTGCGAGGAATGCCCCGATGAGGCCGATGGGCACGCCCGCTGCGTAGTTGTTGGCCGCCAGACACAGTGCAGCGCCGCCCGCGACAAAGCCAGCCGCCAACCTGGAAGCATCGAAACACACAGGCGCATGCAGCACGCAATCCCTGCACTCCTGTCAGTCCGAGTGCTCTCGACTTCACCTGAAGTCCGGCGGCACCACAACCGTCTCATATTTTGCCTTTGACACTGCGGCCTTTTTCGGGTCACTGTTGAAGAAGTTGCCTAGCATCGAAAGGGACGATGCGCCGCCCGACCGTCTTGCACGCATGTTCCTGAGAGATAGAGATGGCTGCCGTGACGGGATCATGCTCGTCGGCTCTGGGATGACAGATGTGAAGGCACTCGAAAGCTGGAGCATGGAAGCGGCCATGACCGACATGATCGCAGTGAGCAGCTTCATCGTTGGCACAGATCTTTCTGCTCGGCGCGCTAACTCGCAGACGGAGTTTGAGCTCGCATCTCTTGTGCAGTGATTTTCTGCGCGAGTGATGTACACGCTCTATATCAACAACAGACACGGCAGCCTGGTCTACCAAAAGGTGAAAACAGAAGAGAGAAGCACAGAGTCATGACGACTGACTGTCTGATGCCTTGTTGTGTGCTATCTGTTAGGATTTCTTGTCTGACGTGAAGCTTACGGCCAACGACCGCATCCGGCTTGCATCGACATTCCACGGCCTCAGCGCCATTGCAGCCCAGATCTCCCCCGTCAACACATCCAAGCGGCTGCCCTTCGGCTTCCTCCAGACCACCGGCATCAGCCTCATCGAGGCTGAGGGATTCAGAATTCAGTGCTTCGAAACACTCACTGGTACACGGGCAAACGAAGCCGACAGACATGCACTGCGGATGAGTGATATATGCGGGACCAGTCTCGTCGATCTGCGTGTGGTCACAGGTCTGAAGTTCTTTGCCGTGGCATCGTCGACCTTCCCAGCAGTGATATTGGACAGTTTTCTGAAGCAGGTGTACGAGGTCTACACCGACTACGTGCTCAAGAATCCCTTCCACGACATCGACATGCCCATCCGATGCGAGCTCTTCGACAGGGCCGTGGAGAACCTCTTCAACAGCATCAAGGGCCTGGGATAGACACACACACAGCAGCCGGCATGGAAGGCTCAGATCAGCCTCATGCAGGAGAGGAATGGGCTGTTGTCACTGGCGCGGTGAGTGAGGGAGGGAGGCAGAGGCACCGACGGCACAGAGGAGCCGAGCCATGCGCCCCGGCAACTGGTGGCCGGCTGTGTTTGGTTTTGGCTGCTTGGCTTGCAGGGTTCGGGGATCGGTGCTGCGCTTTGCCGCGCTCTCGCCAACGACGGCCTTCACGTACTTGCTGTCAGTCGCACGGGCAGCTCGCTTGACGCTCTGCGTCAGTCGTGCCCCAATCCGTCCCTCATCCACCCCTGTAGAGCCGACATCAGACGCCCCGAGGCATGGAGCGACATTGTCGGTGCGCTGCGGGCGAGGGAAGGGGCCAATGTGCGATACCTGGTTCATGACGCGGCTGTGGGGGAGCCTGAGAGGGTCGGGCACATCTCTCTCGAGCAATTTCAGGTGAGATGAATGAATGAATGCACTATTAGGCTCGCAGGCTCGTCCTTGGAGGTGTTGCTGTCTGTCTGTGTACTTGGTTGTGTAGGATGCGATGGAGACCAATGTGACGGCGCCGCTGTTCCTCTCCCAAGAGCTGCTGCCTCTGCTGGAGCGATCGCAGCCGCCAGGGCGCATCTTGCACGTCGGCGCCGGCATCGCACACCGGTAAGGTACATGCCTGCCGCGGCACACCACACCCACAGCTGTGCACAAACGAGGGGCAATTTACTTTGTGTGTGATGGATGTCTGATTGCATTGCGCAGGCCACAGGTGGGCAGCTTGACCTATGGCGTGACCAAAGCCGCCTTCCATCGGTTGTACGAGCAGCTGCGGGTGGGTGAGAGACGGAATACATATCGATGGCCGACCAGACATGCCCTGCCTCAGCCCACGTGTGTGTCTGTGTGTATGTCAGCTGGAGCTGCCGACGATGGGAAAAGTGAGGATAGCGAGTGTGCGGCCGGGGACAGTGGACACGCCCGGGCTGACAAAGCTCATCGAGACACCTGCGACGCAGCTGCCTGATGTGGAGTACCTACGGGTGAGCCGATGGACACCTCCATGTCCAAGGCGGCATCTGGTTTGTGTGCACATGTGCGTGTGTCTGTAGGGTATGAGGGATCGTGGTGAGCTGTACACAGCTGACGAGGCGGCCGAATTCATTCGCTTCGTCCTGAAGGATGTACAGGTGGCAGATGGGCTGAGCACGATCATGAGCTGGTGAAAGACATATGTATGTGTGTATCATATCATGCTGCAGGATGATGATGAGTACTCGCGAGAGGAGTGGAACATTCGGGACAGCTGGCACCACAGCCGCTGGAAGAAAGACACGACAGGGAACGGCTGAAGGAGCGAGCGGGGACGTGTAGGCCTGCGTGTGTGTGTGAGAGAGAGAGGGAATGGGTGTGAGTCGCGTCATGTGCCTGCTGACGGACCGATGGATGGACTCAATCATTCACTCATGGAAGAGACACATGCATGAGCTTGAGACAGCTACAGGGTGGCAACACAGAACATGACTAAACTCATCGGTTAATAGACTACACGTCTCCCCCACTCAATCGGCAAATTTGTCGTCATTCATTCATTGACGTGCGTGAATGTCTTTGCGGTTCGCTTCCACACAGAACCAACACACACCATCTGATCTCTCTCTCTCTCTCTCTCGCTGTGTTTTCGCACTGTCTCACTTGCCCCCCCACCACTTGGAAATCTCCTTGGAAAATCTCTCGCCAACAACTTTGGCTGCGTCTTTCGTCGCTTTGGCAGCAGCGGCGGTGCCCGAGGCCACATCGGTGAGGAATGTCACGACGGGCCTCAGCTTGGGGCCCATCTGTTGGGCCAGGTCGGCGAAGAGCTGCTCCATGCGCTCCTCTTCCCTCGGGTCGTGGACGACTTCCTTGCTGCTCAAGGAACGGATGAAGCGCACCACCTGCAGACACACAGGCAGGCAGGCAGACACCCAGTCACGAGGGAAAGGCGTGTGTGGCGCGGCCTTTTGTGCGTGTGTGTGTGTGTGTGTGTGTATCTGCTTTTTTCCTTACCGAGTTGAAAGCCTGCTCAACGGTCATCATGAGAATGTACCTGACAGCAATCAGGCAAGAGAAACACCAAATTCTCAACCAGCCACACACCACACGCCCATGCGGCCGGTCAGTATGTCAGTCATGTCCTGCTCACACGCGGCGATTAGGCTGGTTGGGCTCCCACTTGCTGAAGAACGCGGCCCACTGCAGGTTGATCCCATTGGGGCTGGTCGTTATCTCGCTATAGATCATCTGCAGGAGCTCCTCCTGCTGTCGCGTCAGCTGTCCCTCCTCGTACAAGGCCATCGCCTGTGTCAGCTTGGCCTTGAGATACTTCATCAGTATTGGCATCCACTCCTGCTTGATCCCATGGATGAGCAGCTCCATGGCCCGGCCCATGTTTTTCGAGAATTCAGCGATGTGAAGAGGCGGTGTCATGTCGGTGGGGTCAGCCGAGCCGCTTTCCAGCCGCTCCGCCATCCATCCCTTTGGATGGAGGGTCTTGTACCTGATGGAGACAACGAGATGAGCGTGCGGGAGACAACAGAGAGACACACAGGTCGGACGTACAGGTCGAGCAGGGCTTTCCACGCGCCAAATGCGCGAGACGCGGCGCCGTTGTTGACCTCGTCGGCAGTGGTCATGGACGCTTTCAGGTTGTAGGGTTTTGAAAAGTCGTCGAAGCGTCTTTTGTTCGTCACGGGGTCGAGCCTCAAGAAGTCCTGTTGCGACAAACGACGAAACAGAGACCAGACCACTCATTCCACCGTCAGCCCCGAGTGTGTGGAGACATGCGAGCACCAGGGTGAGCTTGTTTCCGAGCATCTCGTTGGTGAAGGTGATGACGGCATCAGCCTTTGCGGCCTGCTCAACATCCCAGGAATGGGCGTCGTCTGCCTTGCCGAGATTGTCAATTGCAAAGTAGACAAAGAGATCTGTGAACGCCGCAAGCAGCTCGTTCAGCGCAGCGGGCACCTTGTTGGTGAAGCCGTACCTATACACAGTCACACCACGCACGAACCAATGACAAATCCTGCCGACGAACTAACTCATCAGGCGGTGCGTGATGTCATGCAGTGCAGTCAGCGTTCATTACAATTCCTTTGCCTTCTCGGCGTCTTTCTCGGAGAACAGCCCTCCGTTGATGCGCCAGCGCCGTTCCAGCTGCTCATTCGCCTGGACGATCTTACTCAGGACTTCATCGTATTCCGGCTCCACCACGATGCCGCCATGGACCTGGTGAAATCTGGTCTGCCGCTCAGCTTGTGCAAGAAACGCTGCCTGGGAGGCTGCGGCGCCGAGGCAGGAGAAAACGGCAACGGCTGCAATCAAAGCTGTGAGCTCCATGACGCGTTGAGACGGGCGGGGGCTGGATGGGGGCGTCTCGGAAGCCTTGGTCTCTAGCGTGACCTTCAGCCGTCCATCTTGAATTGCGAATTACATGTACACGGCCTTGGTGTCAGCGCAGCAATTTTCTGTCGATGCAAGGCAATGCATGCAGCTAGTGTGTCAGTGTGTGTGCCTATCCAACAAACAAGCCTCTCTCACGCCGCGTCATGCAGCTGCATCAGCATTAGGCTGGGGTGCGTCATCTGCCTGCCGCAGCTGCTCTTGCTCTTGCTGCTGCTGCGGGAGGGTCTCGATCAAGCACGACAGCGTGTCTAGCACCGCCTGAACAACCACCAGCAAGCACTCACTGAACTGATCCCCGGCCGGCCTGGCCAGTGTGCGGTCCGATCGCGAGTGTGTTCGCATGTCTAGCTGACCTTGATGTGCGAGGTGTCCCTTGTGTTGGCCTCCGGGATGGTGTAGCTGTCTTGCTGCTCGCGAAAACCCGCGACCTTGAGCAGTTGGGCGAACTCGGGACGACCCAACTGCATCCCCCATCCATCCATCCATGTCAGTCAGTCACGCACAGACACGATAATACTATAGATCAGCAGGCACATCCATTCGCTGCATCTGGACCGGTTGGGCGTACGTACCTTCTGCTGCACGCTCTTGTTGCTCTTCTTGAGGGTGCGATACTTGGCCTCGCCAGGATGGTTGACCACACTGATGGATACCAACACGCGCCATGGCCACCACGACAGCTTGCTTGCCCTCCTCCTTCCCCTCCTCCCACCGGCTTACTTTCTGATGACGGTTGCGATGGTCTCTAGGCCGATCCTCTTCTCCTCATCCCCCACGCCACTGCTGTCGAGGGCCTCCAACGCCGCTTCTAAGTCGACCCCCCTCACCGACGCATCCAACCCGCCACCCATGGGCAGGCCCTGCACAAAGTTCGGCTGCAAGGCTTGCTGCCGGCCTTCCTTGTTTATGAGGGAGCCGTCGCGGCCATTGATGAGGACGAGGCTGGGAATGCCACTGATGCCATATCGGCTCTTGAGCACCTGCCGAGTTGCTGACGACGAGGGACAAAGGGGAAAAAAAGCGCTACGTGAAGATGGATGGTTTGGTGTGTTTGAGTGGTCCGTACGTTTGTCAAATGGGATGGCGAGCCAGGGCATGGTGGCGAAGTAGTGCTGGAACGATGATGCGTCTCGGTCCGAACTCACAAAAACAATCTGACCGCGGCATACACACACACGCCGACAGACAGGCAGCACACGAGTCACCCACTGCCGAGCGATGCGCATCCTTTGTGTTTTGTGCCCGACTGACCTCGAAGCTCTTCTCCATAGTCTTCGCCACCATGTACACCTGCAGCATACAGATCAGACGTATTCATTTGCGCAAGCAGATGAACCTGACTGAGTCAGCTGAGCGTACCCATCATGCATGTGCCTACTTGAGCCAGTTGAGGCGTGAAGATCTGACAGGGCGGGCACCAGTGTGCAGAGAAATATATGCCAATCACATCGGCATCAAGCGAGGCCGTCGGAACAGGTGTCGTGCCACGTCTGCAGCACAGGCAGGCAAAGGCATGAACAAATTGAACTCGTGAACCCATCTGTTTCGATTTGCTCACATGAGGTGGTCTCCAAACAATGGCACAAGCGCCATGGTCATGTTTTTCTCCTCCACTTGCGAGCTGGGAACTCGCAGCAGTTTCAGGCGGACCGCCCTAATTATAACGTTTGACGTTGACTTGACGTTTGACATTTGACGTAACGGAAAGCGACCTTCGGGGTGAGTCTTCCCTTCAAGACCATCCATTCACGCAGGAAAGAGAGCAAATTGGAAAGAGCAGGCGGAATCACTACTGCAAGCAACTCGGGACATCGCACAGAGAAAAGGCAGCACCGAATCACCCCTGTGGAGTGAGATGTCTGGAGGTCACGACACCCACATGGCCTCCGGTGACGTGGCGGACGGTCCTGATGGCGATCACGATACAGGTACGCCACACACAGATCGTGATCGCTACACGGGTGTGTACTGTATGTCTTCGATTGCGTGTGCAGACGATGTGGCTGAGGAGGATAACAATGGTGGCGGGCAGCCAGGCGGGCAAGACGACAATGACACTGACAGTGGTGAGTCAACAGCACGCCACACGGACTGATCAACACATCAGTGGCATAATCATCTTGCTTTGCTGACGAATGTGTTGGAATGTCTTCGTTTCAGATTTGTTGCGTGAGCAGGAGGACGGTGAAATGGCCGAGGAGGAGGGAGCGTGGCAGGATGGTGTGCAGGATGATGGTGGTGGTGAGGGCGGGTGGCTGTGGGACGACATGGATGACGACGACGACGACTCTGAGGAGGACGACGGCTATGAGGAGGACGGTACGCCAGACAGACAGACAGACAGACGCGAAAGAATGTGATCCGCACACACCTTCACTGTGTGTGTCGTCTGGTGGCTGTGTGTGTTGCAGGTCATCCTGTGCTGGTGGCCACCACGGTTGAGGTGCCTGACGGCTTCCGGGGAGCCAACGACATCGAGGCTCAATTCCCCCACGACACGGACAATCTCACCAAGGAGCTGACGCTGGGCATCATCGGCCGCACAATCAATCCACAGCACGTGACCGACCTCATCCAGCAGGGCGCCGACCCGGATGTCATCCCTCGGCTGAGGAGAAAGGGCTTCGGGTGTCATGGACTTGGCTACCGCTTGTTGGGCCTCGCCATTGACAACAAGTCGGGCTACACCGTCAACACCGTCCAAGCAGGAGACTATGATGATGATTGGAGGGTAGCCCTGCCCCAGTGGTCGTCGGATGAGCAGCAGTCGGCAATCATTACCGCACTGCTCGACGGAGGGCCGTTTACCGCACTGTTCGACGACGGCGCCGGCCCCAATGCGGCAGCCGACGAGAACGGGGAGACCCCCCTCCACTTGGCGATTGCATCCGGCAATCAGACGGCCTTCGACATCCTGATAACTCGTCACGACATCGACCTTCACGCACCAGGCCCACGCATGCTGATGCTGCCCCGTCCCCTGCGTCAGCCCCCATCTGAGTATCTGCAGCTGCTCATGTCGATGTATGAGCGACTCATCCAACGAGACCCCACCCTCGCCACCGAAGAACGGTCTGGCTGCAACCTGGTGCACGCGGCAGCCGAGGTGGCCGGGGGGGGCGCTATCCCCAGTCGTTCATCTACGCCTACCTGGACCTCATAGTGGCGAACGGGGTCGACATGGCGGCAGGAAACGCCTTAGGGGAGACGCCACTGCACTACGCGGCAGCGTGGGGCTCTCTCAAGGTGGCCGGCTACTTCTGCAGCAACCTGCCCGCTGACCGGATCGACACACAGAACAACCACGGTGACACGCCCATCGCCATTGCTGCCACACAGCTCGATCGCTACACTCAAGACCTTCAGGACCTGGACACACCCGAGGCCATCAGGGAGATGATTCGCGCCGAGATTGACAAATACCAGCGGATCATCCATTCCCTGCTGCGGGCGGGAGGCGACATCAGCAGCATCCCCACGGCCACAGAGAGGGGCCGCCGCGGCCGCCAGCTGGTGCTGACGGAGTATGCCGGAGTGCTCAACGAGCTGCCCACTGCCGTCATGGCGGCCGTCAACGCCGCTCTCGTCCCCCACCGCTCACTCGCGGCCGTCCTGACCCCCTGGCTGGCCGTCGGCCCGCAGGAGGCCCCCATCTTCGGCTGGCGCATCGCATCATACCTCTTCGACATGGATACCGCCCAGGATGCCGTTAGTGAGGCCATCGGTGTGCGGCACACCGACATGGCCCGGCGGGTGTGTGCGGCTGCTGAGCACTTTGTCCATTCGGCCGTGTACAAAGCCAGCAGCAACCGGGAGGTGGTGGGCGGGACGAGGCATGAGCAGCAGAGCGACAAACGCGTCAAGGTGACGGTGCCGCAGCTGCAGTGCTTTGTGGTGGGCGGCGTGGGTGGCTGCAAGATGGAGTTGCGTGAGGTGGTGCAGCGGGCCATCCTGGACGAGGCGGCCAAGTGGGGGCTGGTGGGGGACATCGACAACGGCTTCAGCAAGGATGTGTCGGCCGTCGAGTGGGGGGCGGTGGGGTGGGTCGACAAGGGGCGGGACGGGAGGGAGACATTCAGGTCGCTGCGGATGACATAGAGAGGCGCACAGAGGCAGATTTAGCTGGCAGACAGGGAGGCAGGTTGGGGGTTTTGATGTGTGGCTGGACGGTTGTCGGTGCCTGACCCACTCGAGTGCTTCCCTGTCGCCTGGCACTGGTATGTATGTGGTAGATACTGCATGTCTGCATGGACGGCTCGACACATGGGGTGGGTGGATGGATGGATGGATGGAAGGTTGGCAGGTGGAGAGCTTTCACCCTCATGTGTTCACTGACGCATCCACTGAGGTGCCATGTGAACGGACGAATGGGGTAGGGGCTCACCCACCTGCTGCCCACCTGCTGCCTGCCACCAGCCGGACCGGTGCTTTATCGGTGCTCGAACTCGTTGTGTGTGGCTGCTGTTGCTTTTGCCTCGGTGTGTGGGTGTGTGGTGATGGCTGACCTTCGTGTGAGAGATTTCGTGTGCCGAATGAATCATCGTTGACAAGAGTGTCAAGTGACAAAGTCGGATCCACATAGACACACGACACATCTACACGTACATGCGCCATCCCCTTCCTCCGAACTGACGAGGTGTAGGGTTTGAAACCCGTCACCCAAACCCTAACGGGTGTGGACATAATTCTCGAGATGGAGAGCTTCCGGCGGCTGACGTACCGGGCGCTGCTGCGTCGCGCACACAAGTTCGATGATCACAAGCCCCTCCGCATCCTCATCGCACAGCCGTGGCCAGCGCCCATCGCCGAGGCCTTCGACCGAATCACACAGCAACTGGCTCCCAACTGCCCCATCAAGGGCTTCGAGCAGCAGCAGTCCCTCACCCGCTACGTGAGGCACCTCTTCCGCAAGACTCAGTCGCATGGTGTGCACCCGGCATCGCTGCTGCTGCTCCAGCTGCTGTCGGAGGCTCTTGACACGTCCAGTATGGTGAGGTGGAAGACGGGACGGGAGGCGCGAGGACGGTTTTGAGTCCATCAGTCAACGGTGTGTCGTTCTGTCTCATGTTGGTTTTTCAGCTCAACTACAACCCCCGTCGTGTTGATCAAGTGGAAGTAAGCACAGGCCAAGACGCCAGACAGACAGACAGACAGACAGACAGATGGACATTGTGCTGTGTGTCCATTGTTCATTCGTTCAGACGGTGACTGACGACGAGTTCTACGCGGCTCTCCGCAAAGAAGACCCTGCCCTCGACCAGGCCCTCACGCTCGTCAAGCAAGGCCTGCAGATCATCACTGCCGCACAGCACACCACTGCCACTGCCAGTGAAGACAAGTCGTCAAGAAGAGGGCCTGTCTATACGGCACACGCGCATCAGGCAACGAGTCACCCGGCGAAGGGCGAAGTGGGAGGGGAGGGGACTTCTCGCACAGTGGCGGCACTGCAGGCCGCTGCAGACACATTTCGGTAGGTACGCCCAGCAAAAGCAAGCGACGGTGTGTGTCACGTCACGGCGTGGACTATCCATCTTTTTCTTGGTGTGTGTGGGTGTGTGTGTGTGGTATGTAACACAACACAGGTCGTCGATAGCGGCCAAGCCGACGGCCGACGCCTACACGTATCTGGGGTGGTCTGTGCTGCTGCGTGGCGAGGAGGAGGGCTGCGGGCGGGACGAGCGGTGGAAGGATCAGGTCAACAGTGAGGTCATCGACCTCTGCAAGAAAGCCATCGAAATCGACCCAACATTCGGGAACCCATACAACGACATTGTGAGCCAGCAAACGGCACCCACAAATCCACCCCATCCATCCATTCATCCACCTTTGCAACTGACCCCTCTCTCTTTCTGTCTTTGTGCTCCGTGTGTATGTGTGTGTGTCCAGGGTGTGTGCAAGATGTCCCATCCCGACCCATCCGTGGCGGCCGAGTGCCTGCTGTGGTTCGAGCGTGCCAAGTCGGCCCCGCGCTACAGCCAGCGCCACTTCCCCTACCAAAACGCGGCCGTCTACTACCTCAACCAGAAGAAGAACCTCAGCGCAGCCCTGCGGGAGTACCTGGGGGCGGCCTTCTGGGCGCCCTCAGAGCCGTGGTTCCAGCAGATGGCCACCCTGCTGGTGCGATGCATCCGAGACAAGGAGCCGCTGCACCACACCAACAAGGAGAGCGCACCATCGGTGCGGGCAGGCTAGAGAGGGAGAGAGGGAGGGGGAAGGGGAGGTGGGTAATTACTGTGCAGAGGGGGGAGGGGGGTGGGTGAGAGCACTTGATTTGATGGTGTGGCTGTTTTTTGCGTGTGTCGTCGAAATTGTAAGCAGGGGATGGAGAGGTTGCGTTGTAGTGTATGTATGTCTATGTATGTGTATATATGATGGCACTTACTACTTGAAAAACATGACGTGGAGGGAGGGAGGGAGGGAGGGAGGAGGGTGGTCTCTCTTCACTCACACCTACACACCGATTTTGACACAGACAGACTGGTTGGTTTGCTCTTCTCTTGCTTGCTTGCTCACCACCTTACCCTACCTTAGCTGTACCATACACACACACACGCCGGGCCAGGCGGCATCCACCGCTGGCTCGCACCCTCTTTCTTGCTGGATTGCTTTGTATGCGTGTCGATACACACTCGCCGAGGCCGACTCAGTCAAGCGGTCAGTCAGTTGACGCTCTCTGTGTACATGTGTGTGTAGAGAGAGAGGGAGAAGGAGGGAGGGAGAGGGCCGCGATAAATGGATGGGTGGCGGCACTTTTCTTGCTGAACGATTGTTGTGGATAAGAAGATAGCTGAGAAGGATACGCACTCACCACCTTAGATGAGATGAGTCCAGTCCCTCGCAGCCAGGCCAGGCGTGTCTTTTTGACCATCGGTGTCGTGTGGGTCAGTCGTGTTTCGTCCTGTTAGACTCACTCTAGCCACAGCTGCTGCCGTCGATCACGCTGCACGGAAGTGTGTAACCTTGGTCGATGCGTCGGTGTGTGTGGGAAGAGTGAGTCTAATGAAGGAAACCTGATACCACGGCCAAGAGAGAGGGTGCTAGTTGCATCCTTTCTTTCTTTCTATATCCTTGCTGTCGGCATGGACCATTTCATGGCATGGATGTGGAACACACTGACTGTTGAATACTTGAGCGCGACACACATACACGTCACTTGCTGAGCGTCACACAGACAAGTCCATGCGGACAGACGAGCATGGCATGCACCACACAAACAATAGATAAAACTAATGCATGCACATACGCACAGTGAGCTGTGATGGAATGTGACGAAGCCGGAAGAAGCATTCAGTAACGATGGAGGTCTCATGGACACGAGCTGCATGTGTTCCGGCTTAGTGCACCCGTGTACCGCCAGTAGGCGACTTGGGACAGACCCAGACCCATACGTGCAGTTCGATTCGAGTTAATCGACGTGTGAGCGGCTGTGAAGCACGTCAAAGCAAGATCTACATCCGATAGGCGGAGATCCATTCTTGTGGCGTTCCGTCTGAAACATCTTCTTCGTCCCTTCTTCTCCCTCTCCCCTCCGCCTTGTGAGCCTTCCCTGCACGTAGCGTGGGCGTTCCAGTCGTGGAGCTATGCGAGATCTGGTGGATCTGGTGCTCACAAGACCCCGCTGGTT